AACTTAAGAGCATGTTGTTATTTCCCCTTGTTGGGTTTGAAGAGAATCTATCACTACAGGATTCTTTTTCCGGGGGACTTCAGCAAATGGAGGTAAAGGCCACCCTTTGTAAAGGGCGCCCTGAACACTGGTTGGCATCTTTCTAGGTGGGGAATTTTCCAACCATTTGGGAGGGGACTTTAACCATCAAAGTTGAGCGCAAGATCGTCAATGCTATCCATAGCACCAATTGGTGACATGATTTGAAGTCAACCGGCGGGGTTTGTTTTCAGCTCTGAACATGCAACACGCAGGGTTAGACAATCCCAGTACCTTTGCCTCCCACAAAAAGCTTGGCGAGCAAGAAGACAATTCCCCTAAGCATTGATGCCCCCTCGCTGGCTTCGCCAGCTTCTCACCTGACGGGTGCAAAGGATGGATTGCAGTGGCTTGACACACGCAGCATGTCTGCGGATGCCTGACCAAAGGCTGCATTCATCGAAGTTCTTTGCAAGCCGAGATGCCGACGCGGTGTGCGCGCATGTCCGTAGCATGATGCATCAGAGACCAGCTTCACTTTGTTGAGGGAACACTAGTGCGGCCGTCTCTTTGGTTTGGACCCTTGACCCTTTGTAGCGCCCCTGTTAGATTTTTTGTTCCCTGCTAGTGCTTCCCTCACTTACCTAGAAACCCAGGGAGATGGAATCACAAGGCGCAAGTCCTTCTTTAGCGCTGGGGAACTGAGGACTGAGGTCTGACTCCAGAATTTGCAGCGTCACTTCCCTGGAGACCTGATTGAACATGCACTTAACATACTAGAGGTCTGAATTTCAGCGTGTAAGATGTATAATGCTGCAGAGGTCTTGTGTTCATGTGGGTGACCTCAAGGTCAGAAACTGCAAAGGGTTGTGTCCCCCGAACTTATGCAGGGCTCCTTAAAAGATACATTTTGCAACCATTTGAAACATGTTGCTTTTTCCACCAAAATGAAGGGACACCCACTTGCAAGGCAATGTTCAGTTGTTTTTCATGTAAGGATCCCTGTTATGGGTGACTTTGACCAAAAAATCAAAGCTTCAGGTGGCGCTATTCGACGGCATGGCCTAAACAGGAGCCATGAAACCCTGACCGTTGGGGCGTAAGTTATCAGTTGGCAAAACCTGTTTAACTTCACGGTTCTGGTCATTTTTGCAGTAGCTGCATAAAGCGCCTTTTTATTTGCAACCATACCAAGGGTTGGGAACTTGAACAACCAGGCCAGTGAATCCCAGCCCAACCCATCGCCATTTGGTTTGCAAGGGTGATTTTTTTGGGGTTACCCACCAGGGAATGGAATTGGGAAGAACGGAAATGGAACTGCGAATTAAGGGCAGAGCAACCAGAACAGCCACAGCTTCCTTGTTTCATGGTTGTTGTTGGGAAACATTTTCCATTTTTGCTTATTGTGGTTTAGCGGAATTTCCCCACTTAACTGCTAAATTTTGATTGTTTGCTCCCCTTCCAACGTCAACCAAGGTTTTTGTTTGAAGGGAACACCAAAGCTCGTTCCACCTGTGGCTCCGAGGCCGTGAAGACCTTGCAGGAAGATATCAAGGAGGGCCTGGCCTACGCTGAGCACGTGGACCTGGCGAAGCGCCCGGAGCCGAAGCGGTGAGCCGTGCCCCCGCAAAAAGGGCACAGTCTCCTCCCAAAAAGAACGGGGGTGTCTTTTGGGGAGGGCCCAAAAAATGGGTTTGTCTTTGTTGGGTTTGTCATACAGTCTCCTAGAAACAACGTATGGATGGTTCTTGGAGTGACCAAATCGCCCCGAAAGGTGATTGGCCTTTTTCCTCGATGGGCTTGGAGCAACCCATAATTCTTCAACCATATATAGCCTGAGTCTGTTTGGGCCCCCGAAATGGCGGTTGTCCTTCTGGTAGCGACACCCCCATGGGTGTCTTTTCCGGGTCAGCGTTCGGCACCATCCTAACTCTTTGCCCTGGACTAAGATAAGTTAAATCCTAGGCTTTGGGCGGCACGTCGACTAAGCTTTTGTAAAGCCAACCAAGTTTTTGTAAAGCCAACAGGCAGCCGCTCAATTTTAGAAACGACCCATAAATTCTAGGTCAGACTAATCACGAAGCAGGATCTCAACCTATTCCGTTCGAGAGGTTGGCCCACGAAACGACACTCAGGGACTAAACTTGCCTCCAACATGCGAGTCCCGGATGGACCCAGAATCCAGATCAACTAGGTTTGACCCGGGCCGCAATCACCAGAACGCCGGGATCGAATTTTGTTTCTCTCCAAAGCAAAGTTCCCTCCAAAACGACAGACCCCTTTGGGTGTGTCTTTTTTACCTTGTGGAGTTTGCTCAAAGGGTCTTCAAGAGGACAAACACCAACATTATGGGTCTTCTATTCCAAACCATCAGTTTCACCCATCCTGAGGTTTTTCCCAGCAATTTCCCGTCTGGAAGCTTGAAGGTGCCGGGTTGGCCTCTCTGGCGAGCGATTCCAGCGAGGGCTAAAATACCAGCTAAAGCCATGAGGTCGCTCGTGAGGAAGGAATCCTGAAATGAACTCATTCATTATGACTTTCCTCTGTTGGTTTTAACAGGAATCGATCTCACAACTGGAAATATGTGTTTTTTGTGTTTTCCCCGGGGACTTAATGGAGGTATCCCTTAATTTTTGCATACTTCAACCCCAACGGAACCCGCCGCTAGCCGCAGGTTTTGCTAGAAAACCTATCGACAGTGGTTTCAACCTGCTGACCAGTGGATGGTGGAGAAAATGTCTAGCTAGGTGGTTTGAAGGTGGGGGTATTCACATGCGCGTTTGAAGAGGGAGCCTTTCAGAGCTACCAAAAGTTCTGAGGGAGTTATGCACCCAGAATCATGGCCGCCTCAGAAGCTTCGACTGCTTCGCGCCGCTCTCGCGCTCTCGCGCCGGAATTATGGGAAGTAGCTGTTGAGCAGCGCCCAAAGCTGACTTCCAACAGGGCCATTTGTCGTGCGGTTCGGTTCCTACCTGGTTTGAGTGGGGTTATAGTACAGCCGTTATCGTGCACGCTGCGAGCGGCCCGCCGGCCAGGCTCAAAGCAACCATAGAGCAATGCGGGCTGGAGTAACTGATGAGCTGCAGCGCAAAGTGATTGCCAGGAACTTCTTAAGCTGGCCACATGTTGGCTGGGCTGAGTAAGATTGGGCTGGGGTATGGGGGGGCAATTGGAAGTGCAAGCGGTTGGACGCATGGTTGGGTGTTTGGGTTGCAGCCCAACAAGATGCTTACTCAACATTGCTCTTTTTGCGCCCGCCCGCCCGCCCGCCCACCCTCCTGCTCAGGGAATGGGTTTGAGGAAGATCGCGGTTGTGTGGCTGGCTTACGATTGGCTGGGGCTGTGTCTGGGCTGGGGCTGAGTCTGGGACCTGAGCTGGGGCGGGAGCCGGCTGGCCTGCAAACTTTGCAAGTTCGGAAAATAAGATGCATAGACGATCGTGCTTGGCTTGGGTTCGCGAAACTGGCTAGCTTGCGCTGGATTGAACTGAATCTTGGGCTAGGCGAAGGCTGCGGGAAACAAAGGCTGGATACTAGTTGAGGGCAGAGGCGAACAGAAGCCTCAACAACTCCCAACGCCAAAGGGTTTGGGCGCTGCTCAATAAAAGGAGGCGCCTGCCTAGCGTTTTCCAGCTTGCCGGAAGTTACAGCGAATGGCGATGCCAGCAAGTTCCAGCTCTTGCCTGAAGGTTGCTTTGACAGATTCAGTTCCATTTCAGTTCCTATCTATCGGTTAGTTAGTGGTTTACCAAGTAAGAGGTCTTTGGGGTATGTAAGAACCTCCACGCAGAGATGACGATCATCTTCTCATCAGGCTGGTAGAGGTACCCCCCAGGATCCTGCACCTGCTTCGAATCCATCCACCAAACTTTGCCACTGAAAGGGCCCACGATTATCCATACTGAATCCAGGCTTGCCAACAATTTTCGCAGGATTCTTGATTTTAGGAGCGTTTTGAGGTACACTCCAGTTGTATTGATTGCCATTGGTCACCCCCCCCATCTCTCCCTCTCTCTCTCTCTCTCTCTCTTTCTCTCTCGCTCTCTCCCTTTCTCTTTGTCTTCTCTCACTGAGCATTCCCTAAGTCTCTTCCCTTCTGTTGCTTTCAGTTCCGTCTGCTCTGCTCTGCTCGCATCTTTGGTATCCGGCTTGTCACTCCTCTTTTTCCTTGCTCCCAGCATCCGCACCAACAACGTCACGGATGCTAGCCCATTTTGATGGTTGAGGTGCAGCATACTGTTCGTATAAAACCCGGGCCCCTGCCCCTATTGGTCAAGAACATGTCCAGGTGTGGTTTTCAGATGCTTTTGCAAACATATGAAAGCCTGAAGCACAGCCTTTGCCCCTTTAGTGGTATTCCTCACCTCCATTCCTCCATGCCTCCAGAACACATCCCCAGAAAGTCATTGATTTGGCCCCCCTAGGGATGGTTTTCTGAAACCCCATGGGTCAATTGAGACCCTGCACAGTTAAAGCTATGCTGGCCTCCGGCAGGTAGCAGGAGAAAACTCGCCTCCAGCGCATCGGTTAAGCTGAAACGAGGGCCCGGGTTTCTTCCATTTGCCGAAAATATGTCACTACTGCAATTATGCTGAATGTTTCGAATGTTTCCAGGAGGCGTATGCAATGGAAGGTTTGTTCTGTTGCGTGTTCACTGCCAGCACTGGCTAAATGTAGGGATGTGGCCCCCTCCAAAATTGATAAGTTCCCTGTGTTCCCTCGAAGCCAACCTGCAAAGGGTACCGAGCCTCAAAACGCATCCATAATCAGCAAGGACTGTTTTTCATGCACCATCGAAAAAATCAGTTGCTGGAGCTGCTGGAGCTCACGTTTGTGCCCTTTGACCTGGTTGGGTTTTCTCAGGTTGCCTCTATACCGTTCCCACACCGTTCCCTTAGCTTGCAGCTGGATGGTAAACAAGCTTGGCGTCGTCAGATTGTCATGTTGCAGTCTCCTCACTTCCAGCAGGACCCCTCCATCGGAAACCCCGAAAAAGCGAGATTTGGGGGTCTGAGAACCTGGCTGGGACCAACATAAATCGAACCGGAGCAAAAGGCATTTCATGTTTGGGGTTTCTCGAGAGAGCGGACCCTTTGTGGATTGTTTTAACGGGAAACCAACAGGAAGCCACTGTGGGGGGTCCCCAATTTTGATAAACCCCGCTTTTGAGATTAGCAAACACCAATGAAGATACCTTTCCCCAATGCAGGGTCCTTTCTGGCCAATCCACTCCGGCGATTTTGTCGGGTGGGTGTCTCAAGAACACGCAAGCGTTTTACCTTAGGTCGGATCCGTGTTCAACATCGAAGCCGGAACAGGTGCCTCGTTTCGGCCAGTCGGCGGCTCATCCGCCTTGGTTTCACGGAGAAAAAGATCGGAGAGCAAGAAAAAGGCGCTGTTCCCGGTTTGGTAGGGTTTAGGGAAACCAACGGGATTCCAAGCAGTTCGAATTTTGAACACCTACGTGATTTCCTTGAGTCCGGCGACCGAAACTATGGTTTGAACGCCGGTTACAACCTGCTTGTGTTCGCCCATGATGACCAAAGGTTGTTTCTTTGAGCCAAGTTTGGTTCTGTTCATGTTTAGTGGGTGCTGCATAAAACATCCCGTTTTGCGCTCAGGTGCCATGGATTGGAACGCAACCAGTTGTACGTTTCGTCATCGTGGTCGCCGGTCAATCATCGATGATGCCACTTATGCAGCGCCCAAAACCGATTCGGTTCCTACCTTTGCACTGTTCAAAGGGTTGGGTTACAGGAAATTCTACGGGAACAAAGCTTATTTAGGGTTTTTTGGGGCCCTTTCCTGCAGATTGTCCTGTAGCCAAACCCTGTGCACTGTTCTTGGCACGGCTTTAGTTTTTGGTTTTGTTTGGTTCTGTTCATGTGCGCTGCAAACATATATTCCGTGTTTTGCTACCATCCCAAGCTTTGGGATGCCACGGCTTCCGGTAGGTAATTGACTGGAACCACTGAAAGTGTTAGCCGTTAGCTTAAAAAACCCTATGCAGAGATTCTTACCGGCCCCAAGTGGACGGGCCATTTGATCATCTCAGTGCTTCCAGTTACCAGTGAGAAATGAGAATCAATGAATCAACCACTCCATTGTACACATGCTTGAACAGTTGGGCGTAATCCATGTTTTACTCCCAGTGCTGCCTGTGGTCATAGTTTGTAACCAGCGGAAACCAAGAGATAACCGGCCGACCCTGTTTGATTTTGTTGCCAGGGTGGTAACTGGAAACATTGGGCAGCACAACTTGCATTTTCCACAGCCCTTTCTGGAGTAAAATGATCAATTCCAGCTGTACAAAAGGTAAAATCGATCTTCTCACTCCCCGAGTTTCTGGACTTTGCGTTTTGTGCATTGGCCCATTTGAGGAGTTATGTGATTGACCTGTGGACTTGTTCCGGTGGAGCTTTTGCAAGACTCGCCTCCTCGCCCCTCGGCTCAAGAGGAAACCCTTTTCTCCGAACCCCGGAGAAATTCGCCGGCCAAAGGCCGGCGAAAAGCAGGCGTGGGGCTGACGAATCAACTCAAATAGAAGACGCCTTATACATGCAAAACCATGAATCTATATATATATATATATATATTTGGTTTGGTGTCCCAAAAACAGAATAGGACGACAAGATACGAGAACAGGGGATGAATCCGCAGCTTGCAGATCCCAGCTTGCAGCCCCCCGCTGAGCCACCCGGCGTAGTGACGCGACAGTGCGTCTTCGGATTCGGGCGCGCTGAGCGGGAAGCGTGGCGGGCGGGAGATCGTGCTAAATGTTTGTCAATTTAGAAGGTGTTTGTGTTTGAGAGTACTCTTTAACTATTTCCTGGTTTTTCAGGGAAGCTAAAAAGACCACCGCCATTTTTGCGGGGTCCCCTAAAAAACACAGGCACCCAAAGAACAAGAATTGGGTCGGGGTCACACTCAAAACCAACAATTTAGTCGTATTCATAGAAGTATATGTAGCACTTTGTTTATCCCCTTCTATTTTACAGGTTGTGAACAAAGTAGTGAACACGTGAGTTTAGGTTGTCACTTTTGTGGCCAAGGACCCTTCCGTGTCAAAGTAGTCATGGAAATGACCCATGGCATCGCCCAGATGTGGGGTGATTTTCTATCGTGGCTTGTTTTTGCCCTGTTCAGTCAGAGCCCCCACAGTGGGTTGCGAGCTCTTTCTGGTTTGGTTTCTTTTGGAGGGGGTTGTGCTTTAAATTTCCGCCGCCGGATGGTGTTGGATCTTCAAACTTCACTTCGGTTTGTTGGCTGTCTTCATCTTTGGTTGTGGGGCTGCAAAGAAACAGGTTGTTTGCTTACATACCAAGGTTTGGGAAGCTTAACTTGTAGTTGTGTGTTTGACCACAATGCAACAAACCGCCTTACTCGTATCAGGGCCCTCACATCGAGGTTGCATGAGACACTGGTCCTTGTCGCGGTCTTTCTTTGGACTCGGCAGACCTTTTTGCCTTTCAATTAAAATATG